TGTAAACGAGAGAAGAGGAGAGAGAGAGAGAAAGAGAAAGAGGGTGGTTCGCGTCGACGGTGTGCATTCCTCGATCTGGTTTCCTCTTGGGACCGAAAGGTAGGGTCGAGAGATATCGCAACAGAACTAATCAACGCGAGGCAAGAACGATTTCTCTCTCGTTCACCCCTGCTGCTTCGAATAAAAAATAGTTCCAGGCGATAATATCGCTGCCGAGAAGATAGACCCTTTTCTCCAGCTCCCTCCTCGTTTCACCCTCCGCTGCCCGTTTACTTTTCCTGCGAATCCCCTTGGGACACTCGCGACGTGTCTTAAAGCCGTTCGAATATTTTTGCGTCCGAATTAACCTGTCTGCAAAATAATCATTTCCCGAAGCTCATTTTCTTGATAAGCACTGCGCATTCGAGATCTGACTGTTTAATTTTTCAATTGTTACTGGGAAAGTAACTGTACCTATCCTCTGGTGTTGAGAAGCAAACGGTTCCCGTTAACTAGGGAATTCGTTCGAAATGACGGTACGGGAATCGATTTTTTATTGGCCCCTCGATAATCGAACGGACGATTGAAGTGGGTCGCCGGGTCGAAACTTCCTGCTGGCTCTTCACCAGCAGGCCTCTCTTAATTCCCTTTTCTCCTCGTCTCCGTTTCTCGCCTTGTTTCCCTCCACCCTCCACGGTTCGACCTCCTCTCGACCTGCATCGTGGCCGTGCCTCTCTCGTTCACACGCTAATTCGTGACTCAGACGAGCAATTAATCAAGTTTATTCGCGTCGCGTTCAACTCTGCTGGCTGGAGTTTAGTCAAGTTGATGGTTGCAATCGACCAGCCACCAACTCGACGATAACTCGACCCTCAGAAACGTTCCGGCAAAATTGATGCACCGTCCAGTTTCACGATTTTACGCGCTAAGAAGAAACGAAACGAAATGACAGCAGTTTTTGATCTCGAATCTAATATCGTAAGGGAACGGCGTAAACACGCTCGTAAACTTGTTTACTCGATCCCGAAATCGTGGTAGACCAGAAATACTCTAATATAAAGGTGAACGGTGACCAAGTTAGAACGAGATTAACTAAATAAAGCGTGTCAAATTCTTCCCCGCGAAAACGATCCACGGTGCGAGCCAAGTAATCATTTTAGAAGCAGGTTGAAGAAGAGAATTCAGTTAGGCAACAATTACCAGGGTATAGGTAACTGTCTGGGGTGAACTCTGACATCTTAGGGACACTCGAGATGTCAGCTGTTGTTTGTTAAACATCGCTCAACTTGTCAGGCTTGCTCGTTCCAAAGAATCCGTCTCGAAGCTTGTTCCTCCGCACGACTTGATCGATCCACCACGACCTCCCGTAACTTTCCTACCTCTTAACCGTTCGATTTTTCTTCCATGATCATTCTTCCCTCGGATGTCATCGTCAGAGCCCGAGTTCTGCTCGACTTTTTCACCGAGTCTTCGTTCGACTTTCAGAGAAACCGCGAAAGAATGGCGAAACTTCTCGGAATCTGAATTGGTCGATCCTGTAAGGACCATCCTGGCTCCGTGAAAAGTTTCTCGTTGGAAAAATTAAGCCGTCGCTCTCTGGATAATTTACTGTGCAACCGATGGAAGAGTCGATTCCTCACGTTGCGCTCTGCAATCTAATTAGACTCGCATTCTTTCCTTTGGACAACTTTTCAACTCTGCAGACGGCAATGACTCCACTGAAACGTGTTCCAGAGTCATCTTCTTAACTGACGGTATCTCGCGAGAAGACCGGATCAACCGGTCGTCGAGTCTACGATTTTTATCGATGGAAATATCGAGTCGGACATTAGTCTTGGCAACGCGAGGTCCATTAATAAAATCCTATATCTAATCGACGCTCTGTCGAAGCTCGTTTGTATCGTTCCTCGAGGTGGAAAGTCAACGAAAAGGGATCCACTCGTGCCATCTAATTCAATCGTTTAAGAACTTTCTGAACAATCTTGAAGGAGCTTCCTCGCGGTTTTGACGTCGCTGACAAGTACACCCTAGCTCCGTCTCGTTAAATATTTGTCGATAAATCGAGAAGAAATCCTGGCCAGAGATTCTACCAGCCTCTGCTCGTTGCTCCGGAACATCGATCCTTGGACCAGTTAACGCGTTTGTTGGTGAAGGAAAAATCGGTGTGGCGGTTCGATGGAAACGCGACTCTTGCAGTATAAGAAGCGGGGACGTATTAAGTATATACGGGAGACGCGTGGTAGGCGAATCCAGTGCCGTAACTAAAGGCGGCCACCATCTGCCGACACTATTTTATAAATATTTATACACGTCGCGGCCTGATATATTTAGTCGTCGAGCGTGCGGTTCCTGCGGTATCCCGGAATGAAGAGGGCAATAGTTTTCCCGGACAGTAGTCAGAGAGGATCGCGGTATTTTTAGCTGTGTTTCAACTTTTTCCTTGCTTCTCTTTCCATCCAGTCCTGGTTACATCTCGTTGTGCTACTCGTTTCCCTTTTTTTTCCAAGGCTGCGCTCGTTTGTTTTCCAAACGCCTTGGCAAAACAATTACGACGATCGAGCTGTCAGCGCTGGCACGTGTGTGTCGAAGTTTTCAAATGTACCACCAGCAAAGGGTTAAGCGGTGTGTACATCATTTTGCGTGAACACTGTTTTATTTTCATCTCGATAGGAATTGAAACGTTTACGCGCGTGTAGAGAGGCTCGGGCGAGGAAAGGTGGGCTATGGAAAAGTTCGAAGCAACGGGAAAGGCTATCTGGTGTTGCCGTTGTTGCTGTTGGCTTCGGTTGCTGCTTTATCGTGGGTGTGTGTGCTCATTAATAATTTATGTTCGAGTAACCGTTACCTGTGCCGGACGTGCCGTGTTCCGTCCTGACTTTACCCACGCAAATGCCGGGGCATCGGTGTACACGAATTCCATACGAGAATTTCAACCTGGAGCCTGTAATTTTTCTTATCCGCCAAACTGCCACGATAGAAACGATAGCTGCCGCGCTACTATGTAGAGTCCATAAACGCTCGGATCGTAGCACGAATTTTGCGATAATTCAAACGTCAACCCCTTCGTTCCGCTCTCGTTGCGATTACGTGCTCGCTACCTTAAAACCGGAACCTATAACGTGCAACCCGAAAGAATTACCCGGCTGTTTCTCCCTTCGCGACGATGTACACCGAGGGAAATAAAAATATCCAGGGAGAACGTCCCGAGAATGATTTAAAATCATGAATCGATGGAAAATGAAATAGTAGATAGCGAAAAATCCATGAATAAATTGACCGCAATGCGACCAGCTTTTCTTCCCTTTAGTTTCGGAAAATTTTCCCATTATGACAAAGTACGAAGCTTTTCACCCTTCTCTCCGGCCGCATAATGCATTCCTCCACGGCGTACTTTCCTTTCCAATAAACCGTCGGTCCTTCCGGCCAATCCCGCTAACGTTTCCGCGCGATTTATTCGCAGGCTAGTCCAGCGGAGTTTCGAAGGCCTATATTTCATTTTTAATATCGCACGTGCGCCCGATATATCTCGACGCCGTTGCATCCGACCGGCCAGCAGAATCGTTCCACCGAATCGAGAGACTCGAAGCAGCTTCGTTCGTTATCGATCGCTATTTCCTTTTTTTTATCCTCGACAAACATCGCGTTGTTTCTTCCGATTTTCCAAAGGTCATCGAAACCCGAGCGCAAAGTGACCTCGTAAAAGAACTGGATAAATATTTGTTCATTTTGTTATACGTAAAGAATCGTTTCAATTTGTATTCCGATCGATAAACGCGGGTGGAAAAGCGAGTTCGTGCGATCCGGTTGCTCGATAATCGCATCCAATTAAGTTCTACCCTTCTTTTCGATTTTTCACCGCTCCGCTGCGGATACTTTTCAGCGGAGTTTGCATTTGAAAAGTGTTTTTCTGGCTGAACGAACGGATCGTTCATTTCGTTTGCCTGCTTTTGTCGAACCAACAAACAATCGATGTTTCTAAAGAATGGAAAAGTGTGCGATGGTTAGGTGAAAAGGCGCGCATGTGTAATTAAGGCGCTACGACATACATAGTCGATGGATTCGGTCTCGCGGAAACTCTTCGACGTCCGGCTATGAACACCGTGATTACGGGCTAACGAGGCCCGATTTCCAAGCGGCGGCCAACTAGGTTGCCCTTTCGTTTTCCCTTTTCAATCAGGCCGCTTGCAGTAATTACCAGATGGTAATTTTCCCTCGATCTAACGAGGAACAATGCAATTAACAGGCCTCCAATCCGAATGCACCGAATCGCCACGAATTCGTCCTAGTTCAAAGATAGCATTGCCACACGTTGGACTGTTTTCGACTTTCCCGATCGTAAATCTGTGAAAATCCTCGACGGAACGGCGATCGTAGGAAATTAATCCCCGACAGAATCCTCCCCCGACTTTCTTCTATTTTTTTTTTCTCTCTCTCTTTCTATGCCTCTCGTCCGACGAAGTTGGAGCACAAGGAAGCTTTTTGTTCGAACTTAATCCCGGCAACGGCGAAGGCAAGTTTCCCTTTAGCTGTGCTCTAGAGAAGAACCTTCGGAGACTTTAAATTTCGACTTGGCGAACGGTGCGGTGCGACGCGGTGTGCTAGTCGAGCGCCTCCAACTTTTCATCCCCGAGCCATTACCGGATTTTGAGCACGCTTTAATCTCGCCGTTTACGTGGAATAATCGAGAGACGCCTCGAGGATGCGCGTTAAGCTCATATTTTTATAGAGAAGGCCGCCTAACACGGTCTCGCTTAAGCGTCCTGTTATTTATCAAACGAGAAAAACGAGAAACGGTTATTGATCGATCAGTCTCGCGACACGGTTAACGCTAAATTTCACCCAGTTTTCGCCTCGGGATTCGCTGAATTTTCAGCTCGATACTCGGCTCGAATAATTACGAGTTGTCGGGAGAAATTTGTGCCGCTGCATCATACAGTAAAAGCTGGAAATATGCTGCTTCGTGCAGAAACCCAGCAACGTCGTGATCAAACTTCAAAATGCAATTCCAAATTTTCACTTACCCAACGGTGAAAATCCTTGCGAATTATAACGTAGAGAGAGAGAGAGAGGGGGAATCCGGGATCGAGTTTGTTCGCCAACAGCCTTCCCTGAAACATGTGAAAAAAAGCAAACGGATTTTAAACAATTTCATTATTTTCGGCTGAGCGCAGCTGCACCGAACCGCGAACGGAACGAAAGTGATTTCACGGCGGCGACGTACGTGAAATCGGTTTCCCGTTAAATGGAAAAGTAATTGACTATAAAAACAACTGGCTATACTGGAAACCGTCTACCGAATCGATCTCCACGGATGAACTTTCGTATCGAAACGAAACAGTACTTTATTTCCTAGATCAACGTAGCTTCTAACTGTTTCGATAATCCGAGCAAAGAAATTGCGAAATTTTCACCGGTTAATCAAATAATCGCGTTATTCAAGCCGTTTCGAACATTGCCAATAATATTTGTACCGGGATTCGTTCACAATGATAACAACGACTCATTGTGTTATAATAATGCAGTAACGCCGATGAAATAACGCAAGATAGTGCACGGGGAAAACAAAGCAGTGCATCGAGCTTTATGGCCGCTAGATTCCTGAATATTCAATTTCCGTGAAAAAGGCGATCTTTATTAAAAAAATATTATTAACGAAACGTTGATTGAATTTTTTATCGAGCTGCTCTTAGCCTACTCGACGTTTTCTTTATCTCTGAAAACTGACACACACGTTACAGTTTCATTAGCCTTGTGTCGTTCAAGCAGCTGACTCGATACCCGCGTTCCGTCCCGCATTCCCAATAATCGACGTTCGAATTATTGACTCGTTTCATCGGTCGCGAAATTCTCGACGCCGAATGTTCCGCAAAAGTGGCACGAATTGATATAGCCCTGGGCGCAATTAATCTAATGCGCGAACGAATATCAGCTCGATGGATCGGACGGAGCCCTCTGCAACTCTGTCATTTGTACTTCCGTACGACCGCACCGATGTCCGCTTTGTGAGGGCTATCAGACAGGATTTTATCCGATCGAGTCTGTGCCGAATGGAAACGACGTCTGATAGCGATAAACAATGTATTTCGATACGTTTACCCGCGTTAAAAGATTTCTAATTTATTTCCATTAATATTACGTAGAAATAGGATATTCAGGCAACGAGAATCAGTCGCGCGGACATTGATGGTACAAAGAGGGAAAAGCGTGGGAAAAGGGACAGCGAGCTGTACGTCTACATGGCCGATAGGACATCGTTTCGGAAACGGCACGATTTAAATAGCAAGCGCTTCCGAGCTTGCGGACGTGGCTCGCGAGATAGAACGTGCTGCGCGAACAATTAAATTCGCGCGGACACAAAGTGTAACCGATGTGAGCGGTCGGCAGAGAGAGGCGAAAATGGTTTCGCCGCAAAATTAGCGGCCGCACGCTGGAAGCGAATCCGGTGTTCCGGCCGGAGAGTGTCGCGACTGGTCTTTCTCCTTTTTGCGATCGCGATCGTGTACGCGAACGTTGCCGAGAAAATGGCGACGAGTTAGCAGTTACTGTCAGCCTCGAATATTATATAGGACCGTACACGGTTGCATTAATATCGCCGCGTTAACGCCGCGTCGCTACGTCTAGCATCCTGGATTTTCGAGATGTGTGCGCGCCGATAACGGGGGAACGCGCGTAAAATCCCGACAGAAACGAGCGGCACAGCCGCTACTGATTTCCCGAGCGGATTCTCCGCGCCACCGGCCACCGCATCGCGGATGATTTAAAAGCCCCGTGTAATCGACGCTACCGCCGCACTTCCCGACGCGTGTAACCAGCTTACAAGACCCGCGTTCCGTGTAACTTTTAGAAAATACGCATCATTTGTATCGTTCAATTTTATTCGAACGAATATAATCGCAGATTTTGTTTATTGACCCAGTTACGAACCGAATCCTAGATCTTCACATTTCTTCTGGTAAGAGTGAAAACAATTGTCGGCTTTTTGAAAAAATGGGTTCATTATTTCCAGCTGCGGGGATCGCTGGTTGGGGCGCAAGAGTTTGTTGCGTTTGAGCGTGTCATGTTAAATTTCCCAGACCAGCGGCGGGGAACGGAAATAGAAGGATCGAGATGGAAACCTGGCTTGTTTTGACTACTAACCCGTTTTTTTTTTTTTCACGGTACCAAGTGTACACAGTACACGCGTTCGTGTCGCCAGCAATAACGTCGACCAAGTGGCGCTGACCGAGCTCGATTTTCACCTGGCACTGCAGTTACGCGGTGGCCTGCAATCGGAGATTTTCACCGGTGTCCTGCCGATTTTTCGACCGAACCTACAGCTGCGTATCCTGACAAGAGACCTATTTGCTAGCCCGTGCGAGTCATTGGCGTTCGATGGCCTCTGGCGTTCCGTTTGTACACGATGCCCTCGATAAAAATTAACCCTTCCCTGTACACCGGCCAAAGCGTCGCCAAAAGCAGCCTTCTCAAAATTCTACTATTTTTCGAAAACCGACAATATCTCGACGATAATTGTCAAAAACAAAAAGCAATTTTTATCTGGCAATAAAGAGAATTTTTGTTTTTCCAGTCGGGAAAAATACAATCGCGTTAAAGGTTGCGAGGGTGTTACCGCGAACTCGTTTCATACCCGAGTTGGCGTATTTTCAATTATGTGGATTTTTGGTTCGCGTCGAACTTTGCCGCGTTGGCCTCATTTCCAACGATTTTACAATCCCTTTCAACCGTGTACAGCTCGAGCTACTGCGTGCACCGGTTTAGGCTGCAAATTGAAATTAACGAGGAAAAAAGGCTTCGACGAAAAACAGAGGAAGCTCGACCCGAATTTCGGACAAGTCACGCGATACACGATATACTACTCGTAATTCTCTTCGACGTTGTACCCTCGATATCTAGTCTCATCCTAATCGATCTATATCGCTCAGTTTTCGTCACGAGTTTTTTCGCTCGCCAGCCTTTGTACCGCGTTTCGATATTTTCAGCTATTTTTTTTTTTTTTTTTTTTTTTTTCGTTTTTGTTTTCCAAACCATCTCGATAGAACGAACCAATTTTTGGGGGAAATTGAAATCCGTTGCATAGCCGGATGATTCTAGTTTAAACGTTCTGTGTCCCGAATTTTTCCATGAAAATTCTCGCCTCGCGTTGCTGGGGATTCATCGAATGAAACTGGCAGATAGGAGACGCGGTTTCTCGCAACAGGAGAAGGAAGCGACTTCGCGATGCGGAGTAGCTCGAACGGGATTGTTACAGCGGTACGTAAAGCGGACAATTCGCCGGCTTGCTCTTGCTCGACGAATTTCGAAATGTTTTCGGTAACGACGAACATCGTGGATATCGTGGCGCGATTTTCGCAACGTCGACGGAAGTCGAGGAGGAGCCGTTTCCAGGAACGGCCCTTCGCCGCTTCGCAGTCCCATACCCGTTCGTGCCAGCAGGAAGAAACGCGATTTCCGATAGTCTCGGCTGTTTTTAAGGGTTTCGATTTTCCCAACGAGTTAACGCGCCCGCTTGCACGTGCTGCGCCCACAAAATCCTGTACCTTTTTACTTTGTCTCCTTTGAAGATTGCCACGTTTCGCGCACATGGCAGATTCATATTTTACTTTTCATTTTCTAAATTAAAAATTGCAACCCGAGGTACGAGATTCGAGCGTTCTCCCCTGCGCTCGTTTCCCCGGAATTTCAAAAACTGTAAATTCAATGTTTGAAAATTTTTGCAACGTAACCTCGCAGCTGGAAACTGTGGAGTTAATTTTGTTCGGCCAACGGTATTTGTATTTTCGCGAATGAATTTCGTTTCGCTAGACAGAATCGGGTGCGCGAATAAATTGTCGCACGGCAGACAACGAGAGCCGTTTCGTTACACTATGTAAAAGCGTGTTGGCCTTTTGTGTTTCAGGAAGAGATTCATAAAATCTCGTCGTCCCTTTCGTTTCGTCGGTTTGATTACCGTTGTACCGAGCACGCCTACTTTATTTGCACGTTGTTCACGCGAGTATCGTGATGAGAGATGAAAAATAAAAAGAAAGGAAAAGAAAGAGGCGGGAGAGAAGAGACTGGCTGCTCGCGAGTATAAATCCGGGCAACGACGTGAAACGGGCATAAATCTCCGGTTTAGAACAAAGAATCTCGCGGGGGAGTGTTTGCACAGAGTCCGTTAGGCAAACTCAATGGCCGAACGCGAACGACGGCCAACGGGCATTCGTGCTTTTTATCCGTCCGTCTTCTTTCTCTCCCTTCCTCGTTCCTTCCTCCTTCATCCGGATCCGCAGGGCGGACGTTATTTCCTCTCGTTCTCTCGGCGCAGCGTTAACAGTGCGAAACGACGATTTCCAACAAAGCGGCTCGTCGACAAAGCTGCGTACAACTTCTTTCTACTTTTTTCTTCTCCACCCTCCACGCGCGCCAAGTCTAACACCCAATTTCAGCGTCCCTTTTTTTCCTACCCCCCACGTTCGAGGGTGCGTGAACAGACTGCGCACAAACAGGTACACGCGTGCCGCGATAGAGAAAGTACGCGGGAAGAAGTGTGGTATGAGGTGGTCGATTTAAGAACCACCTACCACTTCTTCGACAATAGTTTAATGTCTCCCCCTTGCTTGCAATTCGCCCTATCCCTGGTCTGGAGCCGACCAGCAGCCCTTCGAATTGGATTCCCCGGTTCCTTCGAACCGAGCAGACCACTTCGTCCAGTAATTCTCACCCCGTGAAACCCTTGCGAGATTCCATTCTATCGCGTCGCTGTACTTTCCTACCCTTCCCTTCTCGTTGCTCGAAGACTCGCGTTCCTTTATTCCTTCCATTCCGTTAGCACCCATTGCGACTACGGAACGAGACGGACAGAGGAGTGCAGGGGGGATGGTCGGTTCTCCAATTTGCAAACGAGGGTGTATCTCGAGGCATCGCGAGCTTCCGAGGGCAACAGGGGAGATTCCACGGTTAATTTAGGTGTTGTGTTTCCTCGGGGAGCCGTCTACCGTCGACCCATCTTCTTCCCTTAGGTCATTCCCATCCCCGTCCCGGTGAAAAATATCGTCGGTGGCTCGACGGTGCTAAGGTCGACGAGATCCCGCCCTGCCATACCCATTTCGCGAATAGATCGATGTTTTTT